GCTCGTGGCACAAAGTACAATCAATCGATAGTGCCATAGAAAGAGAAACAGTATCAAAAAAAGTATATTCAGTTTGTTATTAATTATATTTTCGAGAAAATATACAGTATTACCGGTTAGAAAAAGTTAAAAAAGTAATAATGAGAATAACTAGATTACAGTTATTCTGATGACAGAATATACATAAATCTATGAAGAACATTAGAAAATAAAATAAAACACACATGTTGCGTCAATGATGTTAATTGGAAATGAATCAGATCCTTTTTATTACAAATATATAAAATATCTTGTTTTTCATGCGAAGAAAATTAAAAAAGCTTCTAAGAAGAATAGTCAAGACGATGAAGCTTCCGCCCAATCTTCGCATTCTTCTTCTTCATCTTCTACATCTACGGTATTTGTGTTTTCTCGACGGATTACTTTTTTATGCTTCATACGTCTATTTTGAAACCAGGTTTTCACCTCAAATTAATACCATTATCTTCACGTAAGTGATCAACGTCACACACCTGTGTTTCGCTCAAATTAAGAACGTTAGCCAGCTCTATACGTTCAGGAGTGCTCAAATATCTTTGGGTTTCGAAACGCCTTTCTAATCCTTGCAACTGGAGATCCGAGAAAACAGTTCGTGCTTTTCGTCTTAAACTGATTCTGTACTTCTGCGGGTTACTTTAGTATTACCTTCTATAGGATTTGCTGGTGGCTGCTAGGCGTAGAGCATCGGATGTCGCAGCGGCGGCCCATAATTGAGGGAAAACTAACAATATCATTACTTATATAGAAATTTGATCATTCAAATACCATTCCTCTGAGCTAAGAGAAGACTGGAGTCAATGGGCAATGGTGTACATCCAAACCATAAAGGAAGTTGATCATGAGACGGTAGTGTTAGATCTACGGGTAAAAGATTGCTACATCGGCTTGACAACTAGAAAAACAAGGAAGTTTATACCTAGAATCGAATTCTCACCTCACTCTCTTTACGTGATTGTTGGAGTAATTCTGAATGCGTTTTGAGGAGATCTTCGATAGAAAAACGCATGCCATTACTTTGAATATTGGAAGATGTAGAGTTTGTAGTTGTAGGAGATGCCGCCGATTGGGTTTGTATGGAAGTATTAGGAAGCTGAGTCTGCGACTGCTGCGTGAGATGTTCCATTATCATTTTGAAAGTCTAAAGTAAATGTGTAAGTAAGTGATATGAATGATCGAATTAAGAAGAATGGATAGACGGTGTGTGATGGGAAAGGATGAGAAGAGGAATGAGATTGAGTGAATGCGTTTCAGAGGCTGTCTATATCGACCTACCGTATACGGAGGTGGGGCTCTTGTTATTAGCATAGAAATGGGCGGAGCTACAACAAGCTTTGTGTCATTGGCTATGTTAAGCGTCAATTTAATTATAAATTAAATAGAAAGAAAAGGAAAAACTTCCAATTAATTATTATTGTGATGATTCTCATTAGAATTATGACTAAACGGGCTCACAATCCATTTCAATACAACATCATTTTCTATTTCATTCTTTACAAGATGCTCTTCCTATTTTTCATTTGGTAACTTATTGTTGCCGAAATTCTTTAAATTCATATTGCAAACTCTCTTCTACTAATTACAAAAAATAAAATCAGAAGTCTCTCAACCACTGAAATCAAAAATTAATGATTCCAAATATTTTTTCCTTTTTCTCCGTAAAATTTTGGGAACTTTGACATGAAAATAAATTAAAATGAGATTATAATTAGAGAAATGAAAAACAGAATTTTCGTGCTTTTCTATATTCTGAATAGATTGAGGATCAGATCATTCAATGGGAGGATCATGCAATGTATGGTAGATGATGGTCATATCATATCAGGGTGTTGGTGCTGAATTACGAGAGAGAGAGAGAGAAGGGAATGAAATAAGTAAAAACAAAACTAAAAGCTAGAAGGTAAGAAAGAAGCACAAAAAGGAGAAGTCAAGGGAAAAATAATTGAAGAAAACATATTAGTAGTTACACTAATGGGATTAGAACAACAGACGGACAATATCTGTCGATCGGCTATCTCCAGGTTCGGGATTGACCAAACAAAGCTGACAGAAGTTATTTGGCAAAGATTTTTAAGCCGAAAGAGAAAGTTGTAAAGAGTTTTCTCGTACCATTATTTGCATAAGAAATCTAGGAAAGAAAGTGTTAAGTTATGAATAGTTTGTTAATAATTATGTAAGAAGTGGATGACGCAAGGAAACGAACGGACAGATGGATTATCCTAACATCCAAATATAAAGCATACAAAAAACTTAATTGCGAATATAATTAGAGCATAAGCAGATGATCATACGCCGGATGATATAGATAATTGAGCAAAATCTTACAACTTGTCAACTTCCTTCAGTTATTTTATAATGGCAATCGCCTTGGGCTATCCATCTAATGCATCAAGTAATTGGCTTTAGACATCTCAATAAAAGAGCAAAATGAATAAGTAAAATGACAGAAAGAGATGTGAGTGTCAATACATAAATATACTTTAGAAATTAATAAAAAGATTTTGTTTTTATTCTCTTTCAAATCATAAAATTTTTCTTTATTCTTAAAACAAGGGCTTCATCTAGTCAGAAGAGGTTTAGAGAGGTTTAGAAAGGATATTATGTGAAGACGTTGAGCCAGTCAAAACTTCATGTAATTAATCCATTTGGAGACATGAAGGGTCAATTAGAAAACAAACAAACTACTTTTCACAATAGGATAGAGAGTAAAAAAACTTTTTTTTTGAAGACTCCTATTCTTCTACTACGGAATGAGAAGACAGTGTTGATAAAGAGCTACCCGACAACTATTATGATTGTCTTTGTCTATCTGCCTTCATAACTTTCATCAAGTTGTGCCGACAGTTCATTTGACACTCAAAAGTCACACCTCTTTCACTCATTCACAATCATTTCATTCATGCAATTTTCAAAATAATTTAACCTAATTAACACATATGTTAATGCTCTTAAACAATTCACAAAGAATGCTATTGTCACGATCCAACTCAACAGAAATAGAATGAACGAATACCTTAACTAAGCTTGCTTCAACGCAATCCACAATATTTCGGAAAGTTGGATCAGTTGTTGATGAATATAGTCAGCCGGCTTTCTTTTTAGCTTTCTACTCTTTTCTTCGTTACTTCCGTTGAGAAGCAATTACAACTAATGAGGTGAGATGAGTTCTTAACTATTGCTTTTGTTCAAAAAGGGAGAAAAGAGACGACTACAAAACGAATCAGAAGAGGAGGTCAGTTGCAGAAGCCGTTTCCATTAATCATACAATTAAATGAATAATAATAGAAGCTCAACACTAGAAACATGGAGCAGTCCTTTCTTAACTCTTGCCCAATTCCAGTCACAAGAGCCATCTCTCTTCACAGCGTTAATCAATCAATTGAAACATAATGACTCTAGATGATTTTCAATTGTTTCAACAACCAAAGAATGAGAGATAAATAAAAAAAAACAAAAATTTGGCACATAAGGCGGAAATATGAGCAACAATACGGTTTTACTGTGTCAGTTAATTGTCATATCGACGGGTGGGATAATTGGTGAGCGTTTGTATTGAAGACAAAGAACTACAATTGACACTTCATTCAAACCCTCATTTAGATTAAAATAAAGATATTTTATAAAATTCTTACATTAATTTATAAAACATCTCAAATATATATAATACTAGTCGGGTATTATATGCTCAACCAATAGTTCCTCCTTACATTCAATTATTCCTTCTAACTATTCGCTCAAAACTACTTATTCAATTTATGAAATGTCATGATCGCTTAAAAACAGAAGTGATTTCACTTCTTTCTCTCCTTCATTACAACTAAAATCCAAATTTACATCAACAAATAACTCAAAACTAAGGGGATACAAAGAAATAGAGATGAGAGGTTTGAATCAAAAACCATTCGAAACAAATAAATAAGATTGCTCCATTGACAAAGTTCTCCAAATCTGTCATGAGCCAAAATGAAAGGTAAAGAGAGGTAACGCAGGGTCGAAGACAAACTACAAATATTCTACATCAACTTTACTTCTTATTCAACTGTATTTTCTGTTTTAAACATTGAAGGACCGTCTGGCAGTAAACTGATGATGAATATAAGTTTCAAGAGAAACTTGATATTCGATTACGCATATGCGTGAAGCTTGCTTCATGAAGTTGTAATGAACCTCATGATCAGAGTCAATAAGGTAAAAGTTACAATTGTTTTTTATATCTTGTTTGCTAACTTATTCATGCGGTTCGATCAAGAAGTTCGCCCTAATTGAATTGTTGCTAATCCAGTTGTTATTAGGTACGGTACATTTCCATATGTATTTAATCAATCAAAGAGGTCATCTAATCCAACATTACTAAGCATGTACTTCATTCAAAAGCCAGGTGTCTCTTTTCGGACAATTACAATGACACATAACCTTTTCATCTCGCCCTAAGCACTCGTGAACTCTTCCATGATCAGGTCACTCGTTCAAACTGTTCAGAAGTGTTAATGGACAAGTGGCGATCGATAAAAGCTAAAAAGCCGTTCTAGCTTATTTATATAATTAAAAACAACTTTATCAATTTATAAAACGATTTATTTAACTGAACAAATTAATAACATTCAAATTTTACTCCCAGATTATGATTATGATTCATTAGTTAAAACAATGAATGGAAGATTCTAGTGTGATTTCTAATCATACGTATTTTTAAATGTTTATATGTTCTGGATATAATGAGGTTTTATGGATATTCAGTCTGATTAGTACAGTGGTTAGTGATACACCTTGTGATCGTATCGACGCAGGTTCGAATCCTGTCTTAGGGAGAGGGTTTTGTCTTTGGTTACTTACGTGTTCATAGTTTAATAACTGTGATTGTTCATTCTTTTTAATAAAAAAACATAATGCTAAGTAAAATTCTTTATGTTCATGATTCAACTTATAGATGAACCTTTAAAGCTTACATCTTATGCAAATCTCTGAAAATAACATTATAATGGGCGATTAGAGTCCTTGGGTAATTATCACAAGTCGTCAATAGGTTATTAATATGAGGATAACATTACATAAGACTTATATACTTTTAATATTGGCAAGTTATAATTAAACATAAGAATTAAAGCCATATGAGGAGTGAGAGGCAGTTTGAGTATTCGGCGAAGGCTATGTGTAGTCAAAATGATCTCAAGATAAAAAAAAAACTAAAAATGAGATTAATTGACAAGCTTGTGACCAGCAAACGAAAGACAGAAAACAGTTGGGTTCAAAGAAAATTTTCTGAGCAAGTTGGCACGATTGGCAATTAAGAATTGTAGGGAAAAGAACAGAAAAAATATATAAACGGCTTTAAGCGAAAACGCCAATACATACCCACATGACTAAGTATTCCTTTTTTCGGGACGATTTTGGTTTAATTTCGAAATAAAAGTTTTCTGAATTTCATTTTCTTGGTGATGGAAGCAGTTAGCAAGTCTTCTGATGATAATACTTAAAGAGAATTCGTGTTATAAGTAAAAGCACCTATAAGACTGAGGATAGAAGGGTAACTAGCTTGACTCCAAAACGAAGAATTATCCAAAGCAAGGGCAGAAAGAGAAAGAGGGGCTTGAAGAAAATATTCCAAAAAAGGACAAAATAGCAAAAAAAGAAAAAATCAGAGATTAATGAGAAAAACCATATACAACTAGATAAAGCTTTGAGTCTGATGATTAAATAAAAAAGAGTTCTAAATAGGTTTTTGCTTAGCTGTTGTATACAAATCGTTAATTAGACCTGTATTACCGAGGACTAGTGAGGGTTGATTGACAAGATTCTGGGAAATTAAAACAAATCAACGAAAGAACATGTGAGGGGGAATATTTCTGCTTCCGGAAGGGCAACCTGTCGGATGCGTATGCCTGAAGCAGAACTTCCAAATTCTTTGTTATTTCATCAATGTTAAAACGAGAGGAGAGGTAGTGGAAGTAGATATCAATCAGCTGAACAATTGAGAAAATAGAAATCTAGCTTATAATCTGTCCAGTTGAGCTATTTCTACGCTTCCAATGATAATTCTAGATGTCCTAATTTGAACAAATGGGTTTCTTTTTCCTCGTGGGCTACTGAGGGTGTGAAAAGATAATCCAGCTCATCATAGAAACTAGGAATTTGAAAGAAAACTGCTCAAAATATCATCAAAAACGAAATTCAAAAATAGATGGAAGGCACACACGTATGCAGATAGGACGGTAGCTTCACATTGGCTATAGTCTTTAAAAGGCATTTGTGAAGAATTGGAAATCCGAAAAGAAGGTTTTGCAACAAATACTTTCGATAGGAGAGAAAGCTCCTTCTTTCTTTGATCGTGTTCTAAGATGCTGATGACGTTGCTGTTGCATGAATTTCTTCTTTCTTCTCCGTATGGTTCTCTTCGGATGCATCTCGAGCCGTCAACGGCTCTTCAGGAATTCGTGATTGGTACCATTCTCGATTTTCTTCCAATTGATCCAAAATATTTTGAGCGTCAGGATAGACAAGATCAGCCCAGGTTTCATAGAGTGGATGAACGATATAATCAATAAAGCCAACCTACAAAATTGACCAAATAGTAAAGAAAATGAAAATGTTTGATTACTTGTGATTTTTCAATTGTTACATTTCCTCTATCGCACATAGGAGAAACTTCTAGACCATGTTCTTTCTCTTTGTCGCCTTGCCTCCAATATTCTTCCAAAATTCGCATATTCCATTGACGATAAAGATCTATGGGCTTAGTGGGATTCGAAAGATCTGCCAAGTGAATCATGGACTGCAGGACCTATACGAGTGAAATGAAATATAATGGAACCTTGTGAAGATTGAATTACTTGAATTTTGTCATTGTATTTATCTAAAACGATCACGTTGTTTCCAGCTACTTTCTTGGCCTCAACCATTGTCTTCAAATCGGCCAATAGAGACATGTGCTTTGACATATCGGTTGCCAATACCTGAAAGAAAAAATAATCACCAATCGTATGTTGCTATGAAAGTTCAAAAAAAGAAAAACCGGAAGAACCGAACAGTTTTTGTCTTATTTGTTTTGCATAACATATTAAATGCTTAACAACAGCTCTATCTATCAAATTTCCGATTATAATCATTCATCTTCTGCAGCTCAATCAGTCATTTATCAAATTGCGTGCTGATACGAATGATTACAGAACGGGTCGTCGTTCGACATTTAACGCTGTGACTGATGGCTTCCGGCGGAAACCGGGCCTTTCGCGAGCGACGCCGTGCAATCAAAGCTTCAGTGGATCGTGCACGCTTGCGATAATCAACTGACAAATGCGATGTCTTCGCCTCACATCTCTATTTCACATGAAGTTGTGCAAATTAGGAGATGAAAAATCAGATTTCTTTTGCGTCCGATTTGTAATGACACAATCATTGGGTTTTTCAAAAGATTGTTGGATGTTATGAACAAACAAAATCCGAAGAAAACCGAGGAGCTCCGTGACACATCAAGAAATTTGCTCAGACCACCCGTAGATAAATAGTGGTCAATCATTTGCAAAATGAACTGTCAATTGAATGATAAATGATAACCATTCAATCAGTTTCTTTCAATCGACTTATCTTTGAACATAAGAGAAATGGAGAGAAAAATAGGAAGTGAAGTGGAGAGAACGATGGATCAGAACTAATGAAATTCAGAAAGAGCAAGGCAAAAACTGAGAATCAGACAAAAACACAACCGCTCTTCACGCACGCACATTTAAGAATGAAAAAAACGGTAAAGCAGGAAAACGCGCCAGAGAGGATGATTTAAACCGGCTCAACTGATATTTTACTCGAAAGAATCGAAATTTTTTCATATTTTATAACCAAAATTTTTGTTTCTTCTAATCAGTTCGTAAATGCAAAACGGATTCCGGAGTTTCCGAAGAATAACCGAAATAGAGAGAAAGGTGAACGAAGTATTAACTTCAAATCCTACTCCCTCGCTTGCCCCCATAGGAGAAAAAAAAACAAAAAAAGTAGGATGGTTTGGTAAAAAGGAGAGCCGGTTGACATCATGTTGCTTATTATATTTAATGATTTTTTAAAATATGTTGTCATTTCATTTTCTAAAAAAAGTTTGGACAGGTCTTTCCAAAAGACAACAAGGTATTTGATACTGTTAGATGAACAAAGAGAAGATGGTAACAAGAGAGAGAGAGAAAGAGAGCTGGATGAAAGAAACAAAAAAAGAAAAAGAAACATTCAAAACTTAATTGAAGTCGGTCTGGTTGACTTTCTCCTGATTAACACTTTGATGGGAGAAAGAAAGAAGGTGAGTGTCGTTTACAAAGAAAAAAAAAGGAAGAAAAGAAGCAATGTTTTTGAGTGTTTTTTAGAAACTCACAGCCACTAGAAGGAAGCATGAGGATGACCTTAGCCTATACTCTCATATTTTTCAAAAATAAAAAGAAGAAAATCAAAGATTCAAACAACATTGAAAAGAAACAAACACAAAGACGTACCATATCAATTACGATTTTACGGAATTGAAGACGTTGTTTTCGACTTAAACTTGTCAAGAAATCACAATTTGAATCTTGTAAAAGCTTAAAAGCTACAGCCAGATGATGTTGTTCAAGAACACTTTCATCATTGTACATAATTGCCAATTCATTATCTGCAAAAGAAGGATATGAAGATAAAAAATGAGAAAGGTTAATCACTTGAATTAATAAGATATTGATTGGTGAACCCTGGATGATCAACATCGTGTATCGCTCCAGCAAAGATGGCAGCCATTACTTCCAAATCAGAGAAAACTTCCTACAATATGTAAAGGTTACAAAGATATATATATGTATGAAAGATTATACCGTTAACACTGGGGATGTTAAGAGGACATGCATAGATTGAGCTACATCAGCTGCATGAATGTGATTGTGATAAGGATTACTACGATAATGATGCTCCAAATTAAGAAGATAAGTTACAAGTGTTGAAGATGGAATTTCAAAGGCTTTAATTAAGCCACGTTCTTTGAATAATGTGTATGTAACTGTAGTTAAAGCATGATTCTTAGATAATTCATCTATTTTGAAAACATCTGGACCCCAATCGTTAATCTGAAAGATTTTGATTCAAATAAAATGCATTTTTTTGATTGTCGTTGATACTTACACGTTGCATATAAACAGCTATCTCCTTGGCACATGTCACTCCATATTCAGGTAAGTTACCCTCGTGCGAATGAGCTCGAAGCTTCCTGACACCCGAGATTCGGTTCATGGCCGCTGTCTGAGCCTTCTTCAGAAGACCCATCGGCAACTGAGGAGATGATGTGGATGGACCCTGCAAAAAAAATTGTCACTATTTACATTTTAATTCTAGCATCATCTCCAAGAAGTTTAAGATTGTTCTCGTGATTCTTCTCATCCAAATCTCTTTCACATGATATATCCTCTCTCTCTGTATTCTCCGAGCATAACCTTCATGATCATGACGTCAGTAGCCTTATATGTAAAGCTTGATGAAGCTGTGGTTTCGAATATCTCTCTCTCCCCTGTTTCAGCTCTGCTCCCACCCCATAGTTGACTTTACAACTAATTTTTGAACTTTATTTCCCTCGATCTTCTCTAATTACTTTTTTTTTCTTTTTGGGAAATGCTTTGTTTTATTTTCTGCCACTTGCAACAAAAACAAAACAAAAAAAGCGAACTCACAACCATATTCTTTTGTACTTTCTTGCAAATTTCCAAAGTAAATTTCTCTCACATTCCTATTTTTCTTCTTCCTTTTCTCAAAGTCATTAATGTATTTTTTTAAGAAGAAAAGAATAAAAAGAGAACATAGACGAGCACCAAAAGTTGGTGATCGTCGATGCTTTCTGACCATGATCCATCTCAGCGTCATCGATAAGAGAAACAACTCTTTCTCCGTCTCTTTCTCTCCCGTCTTCTTCAGCAGAATTTCTTAAGATAAACACCCAAAAGGAAAGAAAGAAAACTTTCAAAGAGAGGACAAAAGCAAAATTCTAACGTTACAGTTGTCTGACACACACACACACATTTTTTTCTCTTCCCAATGAACTCGAGGCTTTATCGGAAGGAAAAGTGAAGAGAGGGTGGGATAGTAAAGGATACTCTTCTTTCACACCCTCATCTTCTAGTTTTCTCCTTTTTTAGTCAAAAAAAAGAAAAAAGGAGAAGAATTGTGTTTGCTTTCATCTTTCCATTCAAAACGTCCAAAAGAAGGTTTTACTGGATGAACCACGTGATTTTCGTATAAATTATGTGCTAGAATTACACAGCTTTTACGATGTTTTGACGAAAAAAAGAAAAAACTGTTTGAGACATCATGAGGTTCAACTGATGTCATCTCAAACTTCTTTCATTCAAATGTTGATTTTATGACTTAAGAAACCGTTTGAAAGACAAAGGAAACAGTCACAGGACATTTTTTGGATGAGAAGAAAAAAAGAAGAAGAAAAAAGAATTTGGGAAAGAAACTCACATTTACCTCTCCAGGTACTTCAATCTCTACAGTACCATCATCTTCATCCTTATCCATATAAGTTGTAATGAGGAATTTGGAAACCTGCAAACAAGATTGAGGATATCTAATCGTCCTTCAGCAACTTAATCACATACCTGTGTACCCGATTTAGATGATTCAGCAAAGTGACTGAGTTCTTTATTGAGCATTTTTCGGAACTGAAATATGAAAGTTCATTAAGGTGAAAATGAGAATGTTGAAGTTGAAGCATTTTTTCTAATTTTTTTTGCACTTTTCAGGACTTCTTCCTTCTGTTTTGCACAAATCACCTTCTTTTGTTTAGCTATATAACGCATTCTGTCTGATATTCTGGCCGTTTTTGGCTTTTGGCACCGGTTGATAACGTTGTCGTTTGGAGGAACTTGATTGATTCCAAAAATTCAAACAAACTTTGACTTCTTCTATATTTTGAAGATTAATAGAAGTCTAATTAGCTTAGGTGATGAGAAAAATATAAAAAGAGAAGAAACGACAACGAACGAAAAGCGGAGATGTTGTCCTTGATCTGCGCAAGCACAATCATAACGTAATAATGTAATTATTGGGGCGCAGAAAGGAACGACAAAACGGAAATAGTGCGGAAAATGGAACGCCAACCTCATCAGAAGGATCATATATGGTAGTGGAAAGAGCTGTCATATGTAGATGATGATTACTGAAGACGTGCCAGCTAAGCAGAATTATCAAACAACGATATGTTAGGAAGAAGAAGAAGAATAAGAGGGAAACTTCAAGTATGACAGCGATTAAATACAAAACTGACGACGAAAAAGGGGTGGAGATAGAGAAGGATTAAAATTCTTTCACATCTGGATTTGCTCGTAGACGTTAATTTTTGCGAAAACGATCGAAAAGAAAGTTTGTGAAAGAGAAGTTAAATGAACAAATCATTGAAACGGTCGCCAGCTTTTACATTTTCATAAAAGCCGATGAAGGATTATGGACAAATCAACTGTTTGACGAGTTTTACAAAGAATTTTGTAGGACAAATTATTGTAAATTAGAAAAGTTTCTATGGAAGACCAACAATTACAAGAGATAAGGCCGTCTTAAGCTGTTTGAGGCGTGCATCTATTTGAAGAATCCCTTGTTGGAGGTGGAAGATGGAAATGAAGAAGAAATTCTCACATATATCATCATATTATGACAAGACGATCGGTTAACCGGAAGTTCATGAAAGAAAAGGAGGGAGACGTTGCTTTCACGCCATCGATGTCGTCGTGGTCGATAGGGGTTGCGGGTTGGGACGATTGGGTGTGGGAGAGAGCAATTGGGCGGGCGTTTAGTTGCTGAAGGTATTCATGGCAACGATGATGGTGATGATGATGATGTTGTAGGCAAACGATAAAGAGATAGAGAGAAATAAGAGAAAGAGACAGAAACATAAATGTATTTCTTGAAAGCAACTGAATGATGAGAGTATGACTGTAGCAGATAATAACAGATGACTAGCGAGATGATGCGAATAAAGAATCCCTGATCATTCCAGTTATGGAAATCAGCTGGACATACAGCTTGGAAAGAAAATAATCACTTGGAGACAATGGTTGTTCAGTATTGAGGAGACCTTAATCAAAATGGGAAAAATCAGCATTGGTTTTCAAAAGAGAATGATGCAAGGAAACGTTGATTAAAAGATTCTCAGATGATTTCCGGTTATTCAACGGATGACGACGATATTATTCAAGATGTCTGATTAGATTAAAATAATCGTCGTCATAGTTCTCGTTAATCGGATGGCCTGATGAAGGTCGGGTAGGAGGATTTGTTTCTTGAAAAATTTCAAAAAAGCTTTTGTGAGCAATGTGATTCATGCAAAGCTTGAGAGAGACTTCATTCCGATTTCTTGAAGAAAGAGAGAGATGAGTGTGGCTAAGAAAAAACAGACAAATGTTTTCTTGCAGAAGTTTTTCAACTTGATTGACCACAAAGAAACAGAATGAGAGAAAACAGGGTAAGAGGGAGGCAATAAGATACAGGATAGCATATATCAGAAAAAGAGTAGAAAGCTTCACAAGTCATCGATATTACAATAAAAAATAAACATAGTAGCACATGGCTTAGGTTCTACACGTCATTCAGTTGGATGACCTAGGACATCATCTGATTTTACAACTTTCATCCTTCTTTCTTTCTACGCTTCTAAGCGTTCAAAGATGACCAGCTTTAACTTTGAAAGAAACACAAAGTGAATATTCAAGGGTTTTGTCAACAACTCTGATTGAATAACCAATGAAATTTTCCATTTTGCTTCGATCAAAGGAAGAATGTCATGGATGCTTTCAAAAGATAAAAGCTTCAATTGATCAAACAGAAGGTTGAGGAGTAGAAATTCGAAAAATATCCGGGACATACAGTGGAATAGGGTTACCGAAAAATAAGTGTATACCACAAAAAATGACCGTGATGAATTTGGAGAGAGAGAGAAAGAGAGAGGGAGAGAGAGAGAGAGAGAGAGAGAGAGAGAGAGAGAGAGAGAGGGAAAAAGAGAAAGTAAGTGAAGAAAAGTTGCAACAAGAAGACCTTTGATGCTTCAGGGGGCTTCCACTTCAGCTCGTCAAACAGTTCTTGTAATGTCCAAGGTTTTTAACTAAAAAATACAAGAGAGATAAGAAAAAAAGAAGAATTGAGTCGACGTCTCTTTGTCTGGTTTGACAACGAATCTTTCATTAAATTCAATCGAGAGACGTAAGATAAACGAAAGAAAAGGAAGGAAGAAAAAGGAAGGGGAGGGGAGAAAGGGGTGGGGGGGGGTTTGTTACGGACATTTGACACGAAAAAGTTGGTTTATGGAATGACCGGAAAACGAATCGGAACGTCTTCGGTCAGAGAACGTGTGGTTCATTCAATGAAACGACAGTTCACAAGAAGAGAGAGACGTGCTTAGATGGCTCGATTGTTGCAAGAAAATCATTACCGGTTTATTTGAAACTGATTGTCTTCATTCATAAAACAGGTATTGAAATTCTGGAAAAAAGTTCGACTGCATATTGCTCATCGTGAGAATAAACAAAAAGCTCAGAAAAGGCATGGAACTGGTCAAAATCTGATGTCGAAGAAGAACGAGGTTAGTGTTAATGAGATCATTTTAACGATTCATCACATTTGTGTGATGATGTTCCTGCTTCTTCTGTAGTTGTCACATCAGAACGAGGGCGACATACGGCATCATCACGGCCAGTCTCCTCTGACAGCCGGAAGCCAATTGATAATCATGCTTATCAGTAGTTGACATCGAACAAAAACCACAAAATTACCGTTAGAAACAGGAGAGAGAAAAAAGGAAATGCGGTGGCGGTGGGGGTGTTAGAGTAGAGAGGAGTGGGAGGGGGGAGAGAGGATTGATTTGAACCGAAAGTCTCAAAGTAAATTGTGATCAACACGTTTAACCAGACCTTTTCATCATCCCAGACAATCGTAATGGCAATTGCATATGGCTAAAGATTTTGCAGAATCCAAAAACATGCAAAAGGTCACGTGCCCCACCACTCTACCACCTCATAGTACTCTCTTCGTTCACTTCACACCAACAGAACCAGATGAGAAAATCCTCTAACTGATTAATCAAATTTTTTTGCGATTCTCTGACCACAAAAAGTGCGAATGACTTTGAAAGAAGACAGGAAATTAATCATTTTGTCTTCCAATAATTTTCATAAAAATTGGAAAAAAAGAAAGAAAAAGCCGATCATCTCTGCTCTCCCTCCATTTCATTTCCTCTCTAGCATCCCCCTTTGCCCCCGGAAATACAATGCATACCTTTTTTCTTATAAGGATTTCCTTTTAAACAAGAAGAAAAACAAAAGAAAACTGAAAGAAGAGAATGTTCTCAATCATATCAGAGAACATATTTCTCTTTTTTAATAAGTTTTTGCAGTTTGAAAATGAATGATTGATGGCGTTTGTGAGCAGGAAATAATCATTTTTTGGTCAAATTTCAATATTTTTTGAAAAATATTGAGAAAAAGGAAGATGTGGAAGACCTTTGTCACAGTTTTTCTTTTTCCATAAACAAATGGTTAAAGATGAAAGAGTGAGAGTGACAGAGAGAGAGAGAGAAAGAGAAAAGCCTGGAAGGCTTATCTCCACACGTCCCCCTTCCCGCCATCATAATCGTGCAAAAAAAATGATTTGAAAACGTCAAAGAACGTACCTTGCTTGAAGCCATTTCCGAGACAGAACGATGTGTTTGAATAGTTTCCAATTGATCCAGGCACCAATCTAATTCTTCTGCAAATTTCAAATTTTGTTATCAAAAGAGAGGAAATGAATAATTAATTTTCTTTTCTTTAAAAATAAATAAAAAAATACAATTAAATAATGTCAATTTCAACTAAATGAACAGGCAGTTGCCAATTCAGAAAAAAAAAATTTTTTTTGATTTTTGAAACTTCTAAACAGCCATTTTACTTTCTCAAAAAGCTTAGACAACAATTCTTGTATTTTTAGAGAGAAAATTCTAAGGTTTTCGAGATGCTTAATTACAGTTCTGTTTGACTGTTGCCCGAAATATCAAAAAAAAAGATGAAAAAATAAAAATAAAAATCATCAAAAACCCAATGAAAGTGTTGAAAAAATAAAGAAAGAGAGAAGTTGTTTCAAGAAACTGGTATACTCGTTCGAAAACTTCAGGTTTCACGTGAACAACACGTAAATGTATACTCGAAAAATTCCTTTTTCTGATAGAAAATATAAAATATTCTCTGAAAGTTATGAAGCGGAACATTCAAAAGAACACGTTTTGATGGATGAGATTCACGTAGAATGACCACATGTTCGGTCATTCTACGTCATAACGAGTGTGCACGTGAAAAGAACATTTCGTGTGAATCGTACATTTCATTTTTTGAGCAAAATCATGTTAATAGATGCAGTGATTCGCATCTACCACTGCACTTCTTCGTCAGATAGGGCACAAGAAAGAATCACGGAAAAAGTCCATTTGATGTAAGGTTGTTGTACGATTCACGAAAATTGCCATTTTCGGATGATTAAGACGTTGTCAAGGTCAGAAAAACGAACAAAAATGCGTGAAAATCACGTGAAGTCTTATGAAGATAATAAGGAAGCAAATTACCTAAAGTTTCTTGAGCACAAGTCACGACATTATCGGGTAAAGGAGTATTGTGTAATGGCGGCCTCTTTGATGTACGTGAAGCATGTCGACCCTCATCAGCATTCTATAAAAAAGGAATTTCAATTAATTGTAAATTTGAATATGAATAGAACTTATTCAAATATAGAGAGAAGAGAGAGAGAGAGGTGAGGGGGGGGGGGGGGGTTAGAAGAAGAAGGGGGTCATTTAAGAAAACCAGTAATATTCTTTTAGAATAGTTGATCTTTAGTTGCAATGAGCTGACGATATTATTTATGTTCAAAAGGAAAAATAGTTATCAGCTGATATTACTTGTTCTCTCTCCTTCCTTCTTTTTTATGTTTTTTTTAAGTTAAATATTATTATTAGTACAAATATGAAATGAAAGCCTCAAAACTAACCGGAATGTTGCTGATGGAGATGAGATTGGCGCGAACATTACGAAGACTGGCCAATAGTTGAGCGAATGGTGTCACAATCAGATCGTCACCATGTCTAAAATTAATTTTTATGAGAATTATTCATGATGTGTGTTCATTTCATTCTATTTCGTTTCTTTTCTTCCAAGAAACGAAATGTGTTCATCTCGTCATTTGCTTGTTTTCCCGTAATTTTTTTTATTTCTCAATCACTTTCTTTAAGAAGAAAAAAGGAAACAGTTTGCGCGAAAAAAAAAAGTTAAAAATGAAGAAGAAGAGGTGTTATCCCAGACTCATCTGAACCAATCAAAAAGACGAAAAGAGACTGTGCGTAACGTTGCTCTTCTTAGATCTTCCACTAATTCAAGCAAAACCAAACGTGCTGTTTTAACAAATAATTAATGGCGTTTGATGGACAAGAAGTTCGTTTCGTCAGCTTATGTAACATGAAGTCAATGTTTAAGCCAAACATTGTAATGGAAAACTATTTGCTTCATTTCTCCAGAAAACTTCTTGTTTTTGAAGCTTCCAAAGTAATATAGGTTCAAGCTTAGAAGTAGCTCTAGTCGATTTAGCCCAAGAGAAACGGAAAGCCATTCTGTCAGCGATATGTCTTCCATTAAATCATAAAAATTTCCAAAAAAAAACAATAACTTCATCAATTTCTGACACAAATAACAGCATTTCTCTACTTTCGTATTCGAATTTATGTTTTCACGTAATTTACACGTGACGTGAAATGCTTGAAAAAAATTCATTTTGAACCAGAGTAGGCATGAGGAGCGGTTGTGCATTCTATTTTGCTGGCTGTTTTCTCAAACGATCATCAACTGTTTTCAAATTTTTGAACAAAAAAATATTAAGAAGAACACAAACAGGGCCATGTTTGTATTTTTTGATAAATTGCCAAAGACTTAGCTTTCTATGAATGGGCTTCTTCTTCTCAAACGGAAACAAGCTTGTTACCGAAAGAAAGAGATAGAGAGAAGGAGGAAGAGAGCATAAGCTCAACTCACCAAGGACGTTGCTTTTACGAGAAAAAATAGCTGGTGAGTTTGAATGTCTTTTTTCAGAAGCGTTTTTCGATCTTCTATTCAAAGGATACATCCTAGTGAAAGACACAAGTTTCAATCAAAACACATTTTGATAAATTAGCCCAACTCTCCCCCCTCCACTCTTACTATCTCAAACTAGAGCAACAAATCAACAAAATCTTCTCACTTGCTTTATAAAGATGTTTGAAAGAAAATTGAATTTTTTTTGACTTCAAAAACATCTTTAATGCTCTAAAGCACAAATTCAATTGGTTTGATGTTCTTATTTGGCTTAAGAGAAGATTAGAAAGTAAGTCAATTGAAAAGTATTTTGTTTGATTATTGAACAAAAAACTTCCTAAAGAGCATTTGGATGAAAATCTACGAAAGAGGAGATAAGCAAATGAGTTTCAAGTTATCAGAAGAAGAATCGAAAGTACGTTGTGGCGAAAAGAAGAAAACTGCAGCTTTGCGTCGAGCAAAACCTTTCTTGCCAGAAGAATTCTCAGATTCTCAGCACTTCAACCTTAATCTTGTTCAACAAAAAAAATTCTTTTGGTTATTTTGATTGAAATTAAAATTTCCATGTTGTGCACGGAAACTTGATCGAAAAGCAAATAATTAGAAGACAAGAACCCACAGCTTGTTCCCTCTGCCCTCAGGCTATTCACGGTTGGAAAAGAAATTGCAAAAAGCTAGAAGACAAAAAAAAAAGAATTAAAATTCACGTTAATATTTTCTGAAAGAATGTTCTTTGGAAAATTATTTTTTTTTTTGAAAATTTTGTTTTCGGTAGATAAAAGCATTCCAAAATTTTAAAAAAGTTCAACGAAAGCTTAAAGGGGAAAGTAGTAAGCGAGATTGATCGATAGAGAGAGAGGGAGAGGAATCATGAAATTAAAAGAGAAAGAGAAAGTATGAAAAGAAAATGACTGACAAGAAGAAAAAAAATCTTAAAAAAAAAGAAAAAAATGTCCAAATGTGGATTATTCTATTTGAAGATTTGTGATAAGTTGACAGACAGAAACAACCGAATCAATAGGAAACAAAAAGAAAACAAAACTCTTTTCCATTTATGGATGTCAGAGTTCAGTGGAGGGAAAAGATGAAGTCTATGTGTCTAGTCCATTGTATTCTCTTTATTACTATTTCTCTTTGAAATTAGGCTTGTTGCATTCAAAGCCAAACTTTGATACCACATTATTATTAAAATGGAATTAAGTTGAAATGAAAGCCTACCTAAAGCCGGCATCACCAAATTTGCGGCGAAGCATGGCTGACTAGCTCAACACGGGTTGTGTTGTGTGTAGCAGCAGAAAGACGAAATGTGGGTCCGGGCGTGGAGAAAGAAGGGAGAAAGGGAGGTGGGAGAGGCTTTCTCTCCTTCTCTAGCTGTCTCTTTTACTCTTATTCCTTTTTCTCTCTCTCTCTCACATACACTATGTTTCTTCTTTGCTATCTCTTCTTGAGCTCGTGACCGAATGACAACGAGATATTACGTACAGGACAAGAAATGGAACAACTATATATACGGAGATGAGAAAAGAAAAAGTGGGAATAGTGAAGTAAACTGAAGAAGGTAACTGTTGTCGATAAGCCTTCAGAAGAAACAGCTGAGATGGAGAAAAAGAGAGATGCAACGAAACAGGAAGGAAGAGGAGATCTCTCAAGAAAAGATGCGTATGCTTGATGAACTCCTATCTCAATTGAATCGGAGGTAGAATAGAGTGAGAATGAATGGAGAGCTCAGTTTAGATATCTGAGCTACCAAACTAATCACAATAGAAGCAAAGAATAGCCGAATAAAAAGTGTTCTTCCTTAGATAACCGATTTCCGAATGTTATTTTTTTCTTTCACTCTTGTCTTTTCCAAATTTTCATCTAAGCCAGAAAATTCTGACTGGAGACTTGGCAGTTGAGATGAAGGAGAGATGTAGGAAGTGGAGAAATGTATGGAAGAATGATAGAACAGAGGGGGTTGAAAAAGAAAAAAGCGTCGACGCGAAAATGGGTGGAGCCAAATATGAAGGGGTTGTAGAGGGAAGAGGAAGTTAGGAGAAAAAGCAGAGAAAAAGGTTTTCGGTGAGCCAAAAGGTCAAAGAGGTCGGTGGCAGTAAAGATTTCCAATTGGAGCACCACAACTAAGAAAATTTCCTAATTTACTGAGCCGTTAGGCTTGAGAAGGATAAAAAACAGAAATTGCAAATGCAATAGTCCACAATGGCGTTCGCAAAAATCTGTTTTGAGCTCCTACTGTGTAGGTCCCGTGAGTGTGGAGTTGTGATACTCTTCAATCCGTCGTCAGATGTATTCGAAACGACAACGCCTCACAATATCAGCGTAAGAAGATGCACGGAAAATTCTTGATCGATGAACTGGAAACAGGACAGAAAAGTCAGGCAGAAGTTGAATAGTCGTCGTTGCAAAACGCTTAGTTCTGACGGAAGTTAAGCTCAGCTGGATGACGACAAAGACACTTCGGATGTTTTTTGGTAGACAAGGTGGCTAAGGCTTAAATTGAAGACGTGTGACGATTGAAGACGTTTGAGCAAATCTTTTGTCAGTCTCCTAAAACCTGCTACTTATGAAGTGTTTGAACCTTGGGTTCAGCCACATGAAATTTAATAGAAAATTTCATGGCGGGGGGTCGAACTTTGAAGATGTAAGCATGGTGACGTGGAAAGACCATCTGATGTGAAGTGCCCAAAAGCTGTCTTAACCCAGATTTTTTTCTTCAAGTTCTGTCTAAAAAATGACGTAATAGTCAGCTTGTTTTCAGTTTCATCTATTATGAAATTTAAAAGTTATTAGTTATTCAGCCAACTCATAATGCATTCGTAAAGTGACCAAAATGGGTGGTAGGAGGGTAGAGAGAGAAAGTTGTGAGAGAAAGTTAAAAGGGAAGAGAGAGAAAGAAACAATTCAAAAGTTCACATTCTTAGAGTTCTTTTCTCAAATATTTCCATGATTATTATTGTTAAAGGCTATCAGAAAAATTTGGTGAACGAGAGTGCCTTTTGAAATTCTTGTTAAAACAAAAAAAACTTCTTGTTTGGCTTGTTTTCGGGTCTCCTGTTTCTATAGTTTCCCCTTCTGTTTATGATGACGTTTGTCTGAATTATTTGACGAAAAAGCTTCCAAATCATGTTCCTCGCCTATTCGCCCACTTTTTTGCTCAAGAGGACACTAAATTAAATTCAAACCACTTGAGTAAACTGTTCTGATTTTTTGGAAATTAATTCCATCAAGTGATAACTCCCTTGTTAAGAAGAATCTAGTTCAGCCAGCTTAGAGTCTTTGAGATGTTTTTTTAGAGCCCATCATTCTTTGAAAGTTTCCATCAAGATAAGAATTAACCCATCCAAGAACATTCAAACAGAAATCAAAATGAAGCGTCACATCATCATAATGCTCAACATGCTTCATCAACAGACTTGGTGAATGAAACGAGAGTCCAGTCAAGAAATATCATCGACAATCACATTAAAGTCCTCAAGCTTCTCTATAGATGGTGCTAGGAGAATCAGAAACAAGCTTATTATGAAAGCCTTTAAACAATATATTTCTGATATTCATTTCAATGAAAGAAAGGAAATAGTTTAAACAAACAAAAATTGTTTTCTTCATATAATTCGAAATTCTTTTCTCCATGAAAACAACTGGGAAATGCTGTAGATGCATGAGGTATACCAGCTGCGCTCTCAGAAAAAAAGAAAAAGCTGATATCAACACATTTCTTTGTCTTTTTAGAAGCTATTGCCTATTAAACTCAACCCTTTCCTTCTTAATTTGTATACTCACAAATATTTTTCTATTCTCTCTTTCTAATAAAATATCAAAAACAGCAAATGAAAAACTATTTGACACACATTCTTTTGAATTATTTTTGAAGTAAACCATGTCAATTTCATTTTTTTCTCATAAAATCCACTTTTTTTCCTCATTTTCTTTTTAGTCTAAACGATCGTTTTATTCAAAATAGACTTCCGTTGCTAGAGCTATCTATCAGAGCATCAAAAGAGCTTTCAACGTTTTCAGCCTG